TCCCATTTATTGATCCTTGATTTTAACTTTCGCACTATAGAAGTCTTATTAAGGAAGTCAAGGCCTAATATGACAAGTGAAGGTTTGGGTCTATTTTTTCTTCTATTAGGCATAGGGTCTTTGGTTTAATTCCTAGGTCCTTGATCCACTTTGAGTGAAGTTTTATGTATATTATCTTTTAAATATTAATAATGGCTCTAAAACTTCACTCATCTAGAAAATGTTACATGAAAAGGCTTGGGAAATAGAAACCATTAATGAAGTATTTTCTGGTTCACTTTAAAAATCAGCTAGTATGCTCTTGAAATTCACTGTTAAAAGCTTGTCTGCCTGGATTCAACGTTCTGGTTTAAGTAAACTGATAAAGCAGTGCTTTGATTTCTATAATAACAAACCTGAAATGTATTTTAGTTTTGTATATTACCAGAAAGAGGTCGTATTCATAAATATATTTCTAAATTCTATTCAAGAATACAAAACCATCAATAATAACTCCAGAAAAAAGAAACCGGAATAGGAATTTCTACAGGTAGTCATGTTATCAAAATGAGTGTTTATTAAGTATTTTTAGTCTAAATGCACATGTCACATATACCATAGAAAATTTATACTTTATATCTATAAAAGAAAAAGCAACGAATTAAGAAATATAAAGATAAAAAGAAATTGACCAGATGTATAAATTGTCTAAAACCAAGTTTAACAGGTATTGTTCATAAATGGCCACAGGGCTTGTGTTTTCCACATCAAAAGTTGGAAAAGAGACTAAATAAAAGATTCACTATAATCTGAAAAGTCAGTAGCCTATGGAAAATACAATGAAGTTCTCTAAAGCCACTCCAGAATATTTTATTTTTTAAAGATACATTTTATACCTTTTGGGGAAAAAATGTTACCAAATACAGATATGAGAATATCTGAAAATGACAACTATAAGATACTATATTCTTTTGTTAAAAGGCAAAACAAACCAAAAACCCCTCTCCATCTCCATGCAAAAAAATACTCCACATGAACCTGTAAAGGGAGATAAACACTATTAAAAAAAATGGTCCTTTTGAAATAGCAAAAGATAAAAGAAATTTTTTATATTTATCTCTTGGTTATCTTTTAGGTAAACTTTAAGAAGATAAAGTTAAACTAACTGTGGCATAAGAATGATGTCTGAAATATAGATGGTAGACATTCCCGTTTCCCAAAGTAAACTGAACAATTAAGGCTCAGTGTGTTGAGGAAGTGGTGAAGGAAAAAGAAGAGTTTTCAGACTTGACAGTTTATATTGTATTTTAAATAGTTAATATAACATTTCTTCCCATAGCTCTAAAAGCATGAAAAAATTTAAATATTTATTTAACACATCTGTGTCAAACATAGAATGTTAAAGACTAAAACTCGACGTCTCATTTTCATACAAAGTGTTCTCTCACTCCATTTTATACTTTTGTGATATGTTCACATATTGCACAATTGGCCCAGGATTACTCAGATACATGTTTGCTAAAGCAAAATGCTAATATTCTTGGTTGTTGCCCATGCACAATCATAGTGATGAATTTGTAATTTTGAACTAGAAAGGCTGACCTCTAATCCTATTCAGTTGTTCTTTTGTATTTAGTAACCATGGGGCGCTGGTTCTAGGACTGCCCCAAATATAAAAAAATCTATGGATACTCAAGTCCTTTATATAAAAAGATGCAGCATCTGTAACTATATAATCCTCTTATATACTTTAAGTCATCTCTAGATAACTTATAATACCTAATACAATATAAATATTATGTAAATCATTGTTATACAGTATTGTTTAGGGAATGACAGCAAGAAAAAAAGTCTATACACAGTTAATACAGATGCAGCCATTGTAGGCCTAAATACACAGTAGTATCAACAACAATATGATGTTAAAATATTTTCCATCTTCAGTTGACTGAATTTGTAGATGCAAGAGCTGACTGTACAAGTAATTTTGTTTGATAAAAGTTCACTTAACAAAAACCTAAGTATATGGAAACACAAATAGTATCTACTGGCTCAGAAACTCATGTCATCCATTTCATAGCTGATTTCTTTTTACTATTTTGTCAGGAATAACCCTTCAGAATGTGGTCAAAATTTGGCTGGCTTTAGCTTGTCATCTGATATTCCACTTTAATGTTTCAAGTGTTTATTAAAAAATTTACACTTAAGTTGCTTAAAATTAAAGTTTTCAAACATACACACAAAATATATATGTAAATATATATACAAATAAAATAAAAAATGTACAAACCAACCGAGGTTTAATACTTATCAATATCATGCCACAATTTTTATGCTCCATTTATCTTTTTCCTTTCTTCTGTTACAGAATTTTAAAACAGACCCATCATATGAGCTCATTTCAACTGTAAATATTTCCATATGTGCCTCTATAAAATAAGGATATTGTAAAACCTTAATTATTTCATAACACTATATAATGACTTTATATTCAAATTTTTCTGATGTCTCAGAAATATGTGTTTAGTTGGCATCAGTCAGGCTGAAATAAGGTTCTCTGATTGTTTTTGAGTACAATGGTTACTTACATCCCTTAATCTAGACAGGGGTTGCTGCTCCTTCATTTTCATGTTCTTGACTCACTGAGGGAACCATAGCAATAAACTTGTAAGCTCCTTCATATTTGGAAGTTGTCTAATCTTTTTTTCATGGTGCATTTACATATTCCTCTAACTTCAATATCTCTTTAAGCAGAAAGAGCTAAAATCTTTCAGGTCAAATCTTTTGGTCAGAACACCGTATGGCTAGTGCTCATACTTCATACCATATAATATCAAAACTTTCAGGGTTGCCAAGATCAATCAGCTTGTTCAGGTAAGGGCAGTGTGATCCTTCTACTGTCAGTTTCACTGTCACCCCTTCTTTTAATGCAGTGGTTCTCAACTTTAGCTGCACACTGCAATCAGCTGGGTTGAAGGATGAAATTTAATTTAAAACCTATTGCTGCCTGAGTCCCACACCCAAAGAGTCCACTTCAATCAGTCTAAATTGTAGCCAGAATATTGGGATTTAAAATAATTCAGGAGGCAATTCTAATGTGCAGCTAGGGCTCAGAACCTACAGGGTTTAGCATCCACCTATGGTCTTTGCTTAAAGTGATTACCTCACTAAGACTTGATAATTGGTGATTTTTTCTAATATTATTATTCTTTCTATATTTATCAGCAAGAGTTTTTATGGCATGTTTTAGATGGTTAGTGATAGATACAGTTATTTGGTTATGGGGCATAACATCAATCTATCTAGGACAGATAAGGTAAACTTAAATTTTTTTTTTAATTACTAGTTTTTAGGATAAGACAGTAGTTTCCAAAATTTGCATCCTAATCCTGGGGGTCTACTTAAAGACTATCTTTGCCTGGTTTTCACTCTAAACTCTTGAATTTAATTGGGTAGGGTGAGGCCTGGGAATCAAGGGTTAAATAGCTGTACTAGTGCTGGGTGTGGTGGCACATGCCAGTGACTTAGGGAGTTGAGGCAGGAGAACCTCAAGTTCAAAAGCAGTTGCAGCAATTTAGGGAGGCTCTTAGCAACTTAGTCAGACTCTGCCTCAAAATAATAATAAAAAAAGAGGGCTGGGGATGTGGTTGGTGATAAAGTGCCCCTGGGTTCAATTCCTGGTATTGCCACAAGCACCTCCTTAGACCCCCGCTCTCCAAAAGAAAAACAACTTCACTGGCAACTCTAAGGTTTTAAGGTACCAAAAAGTTTGGGAACCTCTGGAGTGAGATAGTGAGATGTTGTGCTCTAATTACCTCCAATGATGATAATTAAGAAGTTTGATTTCTGCTTGTTTTGATAGTGGCTATTGCTATTTTTGGGGGCACTGGGGACTGAACTCAGGGGCACTTGACCATTGAGCCACATCCCTAGTTCTATTTTGTATTTTATTTAGAGACAGGGTCTCAATGAGTTGCTCACTGCCTCGCTTTTGCTGAGGCTGGCTTTGAACTCACAATTCTCCTGCCTCAGCCTCCTGATCCACTGGGATTACAGGCATGTGTGCACCATGCCTAGTGGCTACTGCTTTTTTTATTGATAGAAAAATATATTTGATTCTTCTGAGCCAGAATTAAAAAAAATTAAAGAAACATTATGACAATTTTATTGAATTCTAAGATATGGTTGATTTCTAGTCTTCATAAGAGCTGATAAAATAACAGAGTGGTCTGGGTTATGTTGAAGTTTTCATGGAATGTTAAAATTAAATGAATATTTAATGATTTCTTTAAATTATTTTATTCTGTTTTATCTGTCCACAAACCTAATGATATAGGGAAACTTGAAACAACTGATTTTTTAAAAGTTTAATAACATTAAAACTTCAAGTATTTATCAAGACTTATATTCTGTGTGTGTATATGTGTGTGTGTGTGTGTGTGTGAGAGAGAGAGAGAGAGAGAGAGAGAGAGAGAGAGATTGAGAGAGACAGACAGAGAGAGAGAGAGAGAGAGAGAGAGAGAGAGAGAGATTGAACTCACAGACTTCTATCACTGAGCTATATCCCCAGTCCTTCTTCATTTTTTATTTTGAGACAGAGTCTGGCCAAGTTGCCAAGGTTTTCCTTGAACTTGTGATCCTCCAGCCTTAGCCTCTTGAGTAGCTGGGATTATATGTGTGTACCACTATTCCAGAAAGATTTATATATTTTTGTACTCTGGTAACATAGAAAGCACAAATTGGAATAATAGTTTGTATCAGTAGGGGTATAGATCATTAAGCATTTTTGATGGGCAAACTGACTACCAACATAAAAATACAGACACTGAGCTGGGGCTATAGCTCACTGGTAGAACACTTGCCTAGCATGTCTGAGGAACTGGGTTCAATTCTCAGCACCACATATAAATAAATAAAATAAAGGTCCATTGAAAACACATACACATACATGCACGCACACATACTATTGCCCAGCAGTTGTATGTACTTAGAAGCATCTACTTGACAGAAACTCTCAGATATGCAGAAAAAATCTTTACCATTGTATGTCAAAGGGAAAACTTGGAGAAAAACCTAAAATATCTACTTATAATGTTTATATATAAAATTTCAAAATAATGGATAGTACTCAGCCATTAAAAAGGAGGAAGCACATCTTTATATACTCACATAGAAACACACAGTTTTACAATCCTGTTAAGGGAAGAAAACTTAAGTCACAGAAGAATGTGTAATGCATGCTCATTTACGTTAAAGCAAAGCAAAACCAAATGTGTGTGCATATTTACACACACATGCACATGCATACATACACTTGTATTCACAGTTTGTATTTTATTCAAGACTTCTCTTATACATTGTATGTGTGTGTGTGTGTGTGTGCTTCTAGAAGTGGAAGGCATGGTCATGGTAGGGGAAGGTATAAGAATGAAGCAAATTTTTACCATTTACTTCAGTTGCTTCTAGGCTTTTAAGTTAAAAACAAACAAAAAAACAAACAAGAGTATCTTACTTTCATCATAAAATACTAAAAGGGTAAGAACAACCTTAATGGTAGCAGTCTGGATCTTTGGTTCCATGTGTGTGGAACGAAGACCACCAGGCATGACTTATGTGACTATAACAGGCCCCCAAAAATAAGGGACATTTGAAAAACTGGGGACTCCAAGTTTTAGAAGAAATTCTTATCCTCCTGGTATTTAGAAGAGAAACAGGAGGGAATATTTGATAAAATTTTATCACATGTACAGTTTTTAGCCATAATAAATCATAAAATCTCAGATCTTCAATAAAATAGTGTCACAGTAGTCCTTTATATATGATTGCTGATCTAATAGCTCTTGTGTTGTAATATACAATACAAAACAACTTCCTATTGTATTTCCTTTATAAACTCAGTACATTTATTTCTACTGAGGCATAAAGTGTTCCCATTTAAGTTCATATCTTATCTCATGACATGCTGATGATTTTTTGTGTTGCAAATTACTTGCTCCAGATGGAGGAAAAAAGAAAGATAAATTGACTTAAGTCTAGTCTCTCATTTATCTTTTATCTTTACTACTTGTGTTTGTGTTTTTAAGCTCACCCTGGTGGCAGAAACTTGTGTACATCTCAGAAACAAAATTTAAATACACAAACAAAATGCAAAACCTACTGCTGTATCCTTAAATTTAGCAGTATACATTAACTACTAATGTCAACGTAAACTGCATGGTAATGATTTAAATGAACAGCCTGTTAAAATCATGACATTTCAATACATGTCACACAATAAATGACTGTCACACTCTAAAGGTTAAATCATTAGTTTAAAATATCTATTTTACTACAATTGTCTTTCTTTCCATATTTATTGTTAAACATGAAAACTCATGTTTTCTTGCCTTTTCATCCAGGATGATCTATTAATCTCTAATGCCTTCTAGGCCAAGCAGAAAACTCCCCCACTTTCATTATCCTTTCTGCTAACTTGTTGCTTACTATTAGAGACTCCAATCTTTTTTGGCCTCTTGAATTTCTTGCCTATGAACACCAATGCCTCATCATTTAACATTCATCAATTTCTTGAGCACTTTTTTCTTCTAGGGACCATGTCAGTGTTAAAAACAATGGGTTGGACCTGCTGCTGGTAGGAACACACCAGTGCCTTCCAGCCAGCTCTGCAATGTGGGATGCTCCTGGTCTAATCTCTGGAAGAGGAGGGGTGATTCTGAGGCTGATTTCCCTCCCTTGCACTTCACAGAAAAGTTCTGAAATTGGCAGCCTCCCAGATGCTAGTATTTTTTTTTTCTTGGAACAGAAAAACTGTGAAATTGTGACTTGTAGCAAATTTCACTTCACAGGATGTGGCTGGAGGACTTAAGTACTACCAATGATCATTTTGAAAAAAAGGACTCCAATCTTTGGCGTCAACATATAGCTTCTTTCTGATGGTTAGCATACACTGTTATAGCTATTTTTATGACTAAATTGGTGGGGTTTTTTCTTCTTGAGAGTGCTAAATCCAGCTCTTTTTTTTTTTTTCATGAAAGACATTTCACTTAGTATTTTCTACCATGGAGGATTTTATATGCATGCATCTGCATTCCTGCTTCCCTCAGTCCTTTACCTGTTATTCTAGTATACATTTTCAAGGATTATGATGTTTATTTTCTATTTCATTATGTATTTTCTTAAAAGATGCCTCGAACTTTGAAAGAATATGATATGCTACAAATATATAACATGTTAAGAGATATGAAGAAGTGAACAATGAAAAATGACACAGCAATAAAACAGAAACAGACTGGAGCACAAGAGGACATTCCCTCTGAACTCCTGTTCCAGCAGAATACATGAATCTATTAGACATGAGAGGCTAAGGAAAAGACAAAGCTGAGACACAAAACAATCAACTTTTCTCCTCATGAAAGAAAATAAGATGTACATTTATGTTTTATAAAGCAAATATGTGACACAGGTAAGCTAGAAAATGCAGAATAAGGAAGAGAGAGAAGGCACAAGGCAAGATAATGATCCAGCACAAATGCATCAAAACAATTTTATTACTTCTAGGAAAGTAATACAAGACCCGAGAAAGTAAAAATGTCTGGTAGAGCTGGCAGGTCTTCTTCACGTTTTAGGAACTATTTAAAAACTTTGGATTTTTATTTTCAAACAGCCTAACTTCTCTAGCACAAGTTAAAACCAATCACTATCCACAAAAACAAAAACAAAAACAAAACAACAACAACAACAAAAAAAACAAGCAAGCTAGACTCTCCTGAAGTGAATTATAAAGAAATGGAAATCTTCTCTGCCTAAGGCATTCTAAGTTCTTCCTCACAAATTGCTGCTGCAGTAAGCTAGCTTTTTAAAAACAAAATTCAGCAGCTGGGCTCAGTTTTCACCATTCAACAGAATATAACATCTCGAAGACACCTGAGTAGGCAGTGATCTCTCCGGGGCAGGAGGCACCAAACCAGCACCTTGCTAACAATTCGCCTTCTTGCTGTAAGGCTTTTAAAGGCTTAAGCTTTTCAAATCAAATTTGTAAAACCTTAAAAATGGGAGAAGAAAAGGCAGTGAAACTGTCTGCAAGCAAATGTCCAAAATATAAAGAAAAATGAGAACAATAACAGATCTTCAATCCTAATTCCTTTTGTGTAGTCCTTTCTTACATAGGAAACCAAGAAAATGAATAAAGACATGGCTTTTGTCAAAAGCTAGCCAAATCAAAGTAAACTGAAGACCTTTTAAATATTTAATTATTTTTCCCATTTATACCACCCCTGCTCATTCTGAGTAGGACTGCCTCATTTTATACAAAGATGATTTTCATAGAACATTTTCTATCTCTGCATGCACAAAACAATAAGCTTTACAGTAAGAAGTAGCAGTAAAACTGTGATTTTATCCCAATCACTAACTTGTCAAGTGCATTTATATCTACTAGAAAAAGAAACGTGAAAGAAATCAGATTTACTCTTTTATTCATAAAATCAATTTTCACTTTTTCTACCCTTGTAACTATAGTATTGTCATGGTTACAATTTAGATGCCATTAAGTATCTATGGCTGAAAAGCAGACAAATGTAAGAAAACACATAACTAACAATTCAGTTAAAATATCAGGAAAGACCAGTTGTGATTGCTTTGTTTGGAAGATAATACTCTCTCCCTTGCCCTCAAAAGAAAAGAAAGAAAATGTATTTCCTAAGTGTGGAGATTGTGTCCTGAGAACAATAACAACATATGCAATTACCAGGGGCCAACTGCAGACACAACTACGTCAAGACAGGTGTATAGCACTTAATTGCTACCTATTTAATTTAAAATATATTTAAAGCTTGTATAATAAATATATTTTCTATATATTTAATAGATTAGTAAGCAGACTGTAGACTACTACAGTAATGAAAAGTTAAAAAAAAACAAAAAAAGGTTATTTGTAATTTAAAGAATATACTATGCACATAATAGTGTAATTGCTACTTTACTATGACAAAAATCCTGAAGATATTGGTCAAATGACTGCAGCTTAGTCAACAAGTGGGTAGAAAGGATGTCAAGGCCCCAGATATTTCAGCCCCTATCACATGTCTTCATAATCAAAGCTCATTTTCTCTGTACTGTAAACCAACACATAATTATACACAGTGCCTGCCTAGCTTTTGGTAGTTAAAAACCTACAACTGACCTCTCCAGCTCAGCGGAGCTAGTGCACAGATTGCTGTGGGTAGAAGGAGTGCTTCATGGAGAAGCCAGATGCTTCTCCAGATCCACTTTAGGTAGCCTTTCTGGCTGGCACTGTATCTCCTTCCTAGTTCTGGCTAATGTTGGACAACTACCCCTGTCCCACCCCCACCCCCAACTCTGCTGCTATTCCAGGAATGACAAAACCACTTGTCCTTTTGCCTAAGCTGTGGGGATGGTGGTAGTTCCTGGGCATCTTTAATTTCTTGGCTGCTTATCACCCTGTAAATCTCTCAGAACTTCCAGCCCACACTGTCCAGTTATAAGTCCTCTGGATCAAATTCCCATGTTGAACTACTTAGCATGGGTTCTGTTTTTCCAACTAAACCCTGTGTGATAGACATAGCTGTTCTTCCTGAGCTACAAAGGACTCCTATAAATCAAACACTAACCCTCCAACAGAAAAGAAAAGGGCAATCTGTAGGATACTTTTACATATTCTAGTTAATTAACGATTGATGATACTAATGAGGGACTACCAGAGTATCAATCTCATATACCTGGAAGGGGGGGAAATTAATACAATCTTTCAGGAGAGCAATGATTACATATAGCAATAGCCTTAACAATATTGCCATGACTTAAATAATTTTCTTCTTAAAAAATCTAGCCTGAGGTAAATCAAAGTAGTTTTATATCTAGGGATATTTGCCAGTTATCTATAACAGTGAAAAAATCAGAAACAACCCAACAGTCCAGTAATAGGGATAGGCATAAATATGGTACATATTTAAAATTTTCCTCTATGATATTTTCCCACTTATTTTGTAAGTGTATATGATTGTTTAAGGCTCTCAAGATGTATTTCTGGGATAAATTGTGCAGAATTAAAGATGAACTTATATAAGAATTTTATATTAAAAGGTAGACATTTAGGATATAATGTCATATGAAAAAAGCAGCAAAGTACTGCATATACAGTATATTCAGTATATTCTCAATTTTTCTTAAAAGGAAAAAAAAAAACCCAAAATGTGTAACATGTTTATATGCACAGAAAGACTAATAATAAGGCTGATTTTTAAGTAATTCTTTTTATACTTTTCTGTATTTTCTAAATATCTTTTGATGAATCAATCTCTCTCTATTATATTTAAAATTAGGAGGAAAATTATTTTTAAAAAATAAAAAAAGTTGAAGTGAAGGCAGCTGATAAGATTAAGATACAAGCTTGGTGACCTCCTCTACCACTGCTCGAAGAACTGAAACTAAAAATTAACCACAGGAAAAAAGGCATGCCAACCATCAGGAAAATATAAATCAAAACCATAACGAGACACTACTTCACACTCATTAGAATGGCTGTAATGAAAAAGATAACAACAAATGTTGGAGAGGATGTGGAGAGAAATCACAACTCTTATGTTACTGGTGGAAATGTAAAATGATGTAGCTCTGGAAAACCAATCAGGTAGCTGCTTAAAAAAAGGAACACAGAGTTGCCATCTGATCATCAATTTGACTATTAGATATATACTTAGGAGAAATGGAAACATGTTCATAGCAGCATTTCTTGTAATAGTCCAAAGAGAAACAATCTGGATGTTTGTCAATTGATAGATAAAGAAAATGTATTATACCTGTCCAACATAATACTATTTAGCCATAAAAAGGAACAACATGCCGATACATGCTATAATAGGAGGGAACACTGAAAACATCATGCTAAATGAATGGAGCCACTCATGTGGTATGATTCCATTTACCAGAAATATCTCAAATTGGTATGTGATTTCTTTTAAGAGTAATGAAAATGTTCTAAAATTCATTGTGATACTTGATGCGCATTTCTGTAAATATATTAAAAACACAGAAGTATTCAGTTTAAATGGGTAACAGTATGGCATGAGAATTATACCTCAATAAAGTTATTATAATAAAAAGAAAAATAGAAAAAGATATAAGGGAAACAAACTAAATTTGCATCACGTGTGTCAAATTATCAATAAAAAGATCTCAAATACTATGGTAAATGTCATGTTAGGCTGTAAAAGTTTTAAGTGCATTGTAAGTCAAGTTAAAAACCAAAAAAACTTCTTGGGAATTTAAAAAAAGCTTACAACTGTGTGTATATACTTCTTCCAAAATATATATTTTGCTACTAAATTAAATTATTTATCTCAAGTATTTCTTTAATACATGCTGAGGATTGGGTGTCTTTTAGGCATTGAGGCAGAAAGAAAAAAAGGGACACTTTCTAAGAGATTAGAATTTAGTTGTGAACCTAATATAACACAAATATTCCTGACAGGGTGAAACAGACTTTGTTATGCATTCATGTATGCATGTATTCATTCACTTGAGTGAACTGCCTAAGGCCTACTATGCACAAAGCCCTTGGAACATTTTGTTGAACAGTGAAGACATGGTTCCTGCCTTCAGCAATGATCTTACATACTATGACAAAGTATGAAAAAACTGTGCATCTCACCTAACTTCCTCTGTCAGGCTCTGTAGGATTTCAGACCATTCTCTCAATACCTCCAAAGAAGAAAAAGAGGCAGCTTTTTCCCTACATACACCCTGAATTTCAGCCTTGCTCTCTAATTCAGCTGTCCCTTACCTACAGCACTCTGACCTATGTCTGAACCACATAATAAAGTATCAATTCACAAGAAACCATCAGTTTAATAGAAGTAATTTTCTTCTCATTTGGTTAAGGGCTTTCTTTAGTAATCACATTTATAAATGTTTGCAGAATGCTCTAAATTGCTCTCCTTTCATTAGCTGAAATCCACACATCCAGACCATCCTGTAAAATTGGCTCTCGATTCTGATTCTTCCAGTTGTTTCAAAGGTACCACTAACTTGCATAGACTGTTACTACTGTCTATGCGACTCCAAACTAAACAACCTCTATATCCTGAGGAATCACCTCCTCCACATGGTCTCACATACCAAATTCTGTAATAAGCTTTCACTTGTTCTTTCTAATCACAGTTTTTCCTCCCTCCAGTTCATAGTTCTGCTTCTCACAAGGAATGCTTAAATTATGTGAATTTTGCTTAAAAGAGTTTCAGGGTCTCCTTATGATCACTGAATCAAGGTCCTTGGAATTTAAAATTTCTACAATCTGACCCAATCACACTTTGCACCTCTAACCATCTCCCAAACCAATTTTAAAAGTTCCCACATGACACTACTATTTCTATTGTCTACTGAGAGGTGACAATGCCTTCTCCACAGTGTGGCCACCTGTGAAGACCAGGGGCACTCCAGGCCCATCGTCTTTGCAGAGCTATTTCAGAAGTGGTCTATTTCTACCAATGTTCCCCACACAATACTTATTTGGCAGTTAATCATGGATTATTTCATGGTCTGTGTTATGCTAAACTGTTATAAGTCTCAGGTAGCTTTTCACATGTCTCTACTGTATCAACAATTTGAATAAACAGTATATTGGGACTAACTTCTTTGTAAAACAGCAGAGTATCTTGTATGTACTACAAACAAAAAATGCAGATAAACTGAGATGCTAGGCATTTGGTGATCTAAGTTTCCCACAATGCAATTGTTTGGAAACTGCCAAACTGTTTAGATATCAAGGTCTACTCTTTAAGGAGGAGAGGAAGACACAAGCCATCACTATCTGACATAGTAACCAGCATGATGAGAGTGCTCAATAAACATTTATTCAATAAAAATTAATAAGACATCAAATATTCAAGATATAGAGAGATAATTTACCTTTTGTATGTGGTGAATTTAAGATTAAAAAAATAATAAAAGAGGTTAAAACCTGCCAGACTATATTTAGACCAAATTAGAAGTTACCAAATATTTTATATGGGGTTACACAAAGAAAATGAACATTTCAAACAACTTTTCTCTGAGTATGAGAAATACTATGAAACAAAAGACCTGATTTGTATAAACGATTTGCCATCTTTCTCAGATTATACAATATCCTATTCTCAAAGTCATCCTCTGTTTCCTTATGATTGAAAATAAAATTTTTAGATGTAGGGTTGATATTAAAAATGGTGCTATATAAGCCTTTAATTTTATAATTGACATATACATATGTATTCAATTATGTTAAATTTTATGTTACAAATATTAAGAATTACTACTTCAAATCAAAGTAGTTCAACACTATTATTATCAACGAATTTGCTTGGCTTACTTTACCAGTAGATAGTAAATTAAAGAGCAGGCTAAGTAATTGCTTTTGTGTGTATATGTAAAACATAAAAATACTTTTATATAACAAAAAAATCATACCTGTTGATCTCCAAGGAAATGACTTCTCAGTTGAGCTACAGAAAAAGAAGGAAAAGATGGAATCTTTATTTTCCTTGTTATAAATTTAACTGTGGACTTGTTTAGCATATAAACATGTTAATTTTCACATTCAATTATATAAAAGTATAAAAACCTCAAATAAAAATTTTAAAATCACTCCTCTAAGTAAATTAATTTTTACAAAGTACTTACCCTTCCATATCAATTTGGGACAAACTATTTTTACTTCGAAATTAAGTCCCCATTATTTTTCTTGAATAAGACAAAATGTCACAACTACATGTGATATTCATGGTACTGAAATGATGTACTGTACTATTTTTGTGATAACGTGAAAATTTTAGATACAACATACTTAAAGAACCCCAAATGGCTATTTAAGAAGTTCATTTATTTTATTTATTTCCAAAGGAAACCATTAGACACTACAATTAACATAAAAGTTAATGGGGTCAGTTTTGAAGCAAATGTTGCCTTATAAAATTAAAGAATTTCACAGAACTTTACATTAAAAAATAAGATCTTACAAGTCAGGATAAAACTTTAGTTATGTATATTCCTTTGCTTATAGCATATGTATTTGAAATTTGGACCTAAAAGCATTTTGGTGTGCCTATTTCTCCCAGCCCTGACCCAATCATTATGGCATGAGAGGAACAGTGGATTAGAACACAGCAACCACAGGCTGGATTATTAAGGATTTGTTAAGTAGATTAAGTACTTCAAATACATCATCTCCACTTCATATATGTTATCAGCTTTAAATTATTCACAACCACCTTATGAATAGGTACATCATTGTATTTATTTTACAAATAAAATACATGCTGGCATCTAGAAATGCTAGGATCAAACCCAGAATGGTGTGATTTCCAGTCAGTGTACAGCAAAACAGGTATGATCCCATTTTTTGCATTATACATATATAGTTATACAATATGCTTAGAAAGAGGTCTGTAAAAATTAAAAAAAAAAAAAAAACAACAACCAATATGAGGGGTAAGAACAGGAGAATATTTTTCTTTTTAAACATTTGTTTAATTTTTCCCCCTGAAACCAGAACAAACAAACTAATATATATTTAAGTATTTTTGGAGTTCTTATTAAATTTACAAAATAGATGTGTTCCTCTGGACTTAAAGATGTACCACATAAAACAAAGGACTTGGATTAGATGAAGGGAAAAGTCCTTTCTGTGCTATATTTCTATTAACCCCTTGATATTTTCCCCAAGTCATTTAAAGGGTTAATGGAACTCTTGCTAGTTGAAAACCCTAGATTAAATCACAACTGCCTGTACTTCAATTTTGTGTGTGATTTGCCTTTTCTTCATCACAGGTACAGCAGCTCACATTCTAGGACCTTGAGCTAGCTGCAGGCAGGGGGACATATTCCCAATGAATGGAGTCAATCAGTTAATGCTAATCTTCTCCAGAGCTCCACTGATGTTCCTTTATCAGATGTAATCTTAACTGATTTCAAAAGGGACTGATGGGTGAAGAAAAGAAAAATTTGGTCAAATATCAGTAATGGTATATTTGTCTTGCTCCTGAGAGTAGGTCACCACTGTCTTTGGCTTCAAAAGTAGTTCCCTACATTTAATTTCAATTCTCTTGAATTTGTTTTTATTACTTAACTCTATTATCTAAATTAGTTTTCTAAGCACTAAGACTGCTATTCAACTGTGTTCCTTTCAAAACAATTATGCTTTATGTCAACATTAAAATACATGGTACATCAAATGCCACCCAGAAATGTCATTAATATGCTTCAAGTTTCTAGGGACTATCATGAAAGTTTATTAATTATTGAATTTGAAACTTACAGAATTTAATGAACTACCTTTACAAGATTTTTTGTCTTTGAAACTGTAAGTCAAAGAATATAATTCTGGCTAATTGCTCAAATTGGGCAGGGGCTGTGGCTATTTTGCTCACCTCTCTATATTAAGTTCTAGTATACTACCTAGCACACATGAATAGCTTAATGTATATATTGTTACAATACAAATTGAAAAGACTTTTGATCACCACAATATAAGTTAATCCTAAGTGAAGAAAATGGGAAGGTTTGGTTACAGTTAATTTTCCCTACACTTTTTTTTGCTTTTGGTTCTGGGGATTGAGCTCAGGGGCACTCAACCACTGAGCCACATCCTCAGCCCTATTTTGTATTTTATTTAGAGACAGGATCTCACTGAGTTGCTTAGCACCTTGCCATTGCTGAGGCTGACTTTGAGCTCACATTTCTTCTGTCTTAGCTTCCTGAGCCACTGGGATTACAGGCATGCTCCACTACGCCCGGTTTTCCCTATACTTTTTAAGGTAAAAGATACAAATCATTAGGAAAAGAAACTAATAATGAGGATGAAATATAAGCAGAAAGTTCCATGGTATATCCTGAAGAGCATATAATTCTGCCCAATTACCTTCACATGAAATTCTACAATGCTGTGTAATAACTGCTCATTATATGTTATTCAGAACAGTCTATTTCCCATTTGAACTACTTACTTTAAATGATTCTCAAATTGTTCTCTACTTTGGGATTCAAGGATTGAAGAACAAATACATGGAATTTTAAAATGTTCTTTCAAGTCACTGAATGCAACCCACTTTTTTTTTTTTTAAAAGAACAATTAGAGGTAGATCCATGTTAGAAACAGCAGAGACAGCTTTGAGTTAGGAATGTAGGCTTATTTCCTGTTAGTTTTTTCTTTTCTTTCTCTTTAAATATCTATTCCTAGAAATACTTCCCCAACTTATACTGGATGTCTACAATGTATCTTCAGGCACTGTGCCCACAAGTGACTCCACCCTGGTTCCGTTTTACTTCTGAAGATGCCAAACAGCTTTTGCTCTAGGAGCTTCCATTGAAATACAGAACACATTTAAAAATACAAGCATTGATCAACTGGGATAACTTTGTTTCTATGGGAAGATATATTCATAATTTCTAATAATTATTGACAACCCTTTAGAATGAAATCTATTCATAAGTTTGGGACTGTCTGGTCAGACAATGAACAACAAAAATTAGCAAATTAACAAATCAAAGCAATTTATTTTAATCTAAAATATTAGTTTAGTTTTAAGGAAGGCATTATGCATTTGTCATAATGTAGTAAGTAGTATAAAATTCCACATACTTCATTCACAGATATAAATGGCCATTTACAGAGGTACAGTGTGTTTGAAAACCCTCCTTATTCTGATAGTTTGTACTATTATGAGTCAGGAAACTTGCCTATGCATACTCCCCTGTAGCCAGAGAGCAAGGGTCCAGAGAGGCCATGTGAGAAGAACATAGTGGTATGTTGAAAATTTGCAGTGGACACAGCTCCTGGACATCCAGATTCAGAATCTCGCTCTTGGGCCTTACTAGAAATTCTATGAGTTGACACCCAATACCTGCTTAAACAGGGCAGAGAGAATTCTATTGTTTGCAACTTAAAATCCTCACTGGCATTATTATTATCACAAAACTAGGAAACACAAACAGGTCCTCTGAATGAGCCCAAGCCTCACTCCTCAACTGCAGACCATATTTCCAACTGCATACTGGATATATAACATACATCTTATTCGACACATTAAGATTCTTTCCCCCAATGTGATTCCTCTTTAGTTATTACCCCCTGGTCATTTAAATGAGGAGCAAGAATCATTTTCCTATTGGTTTTCTCTAACAGTGTGTAAGCTCTGCAAGGGCATCAAAGTCTACAATGTTCACAGATATGTCACCAGAAGCAAAGGCAGTGTCTGGCACATGGCTACTAGTCAAAACACACATGCTTTGAATTCATCTCTATAAGCACTGACATGGGCTGGGCCTTCACCCTCTCAGGGAGTTTTGGCTGGATCATTCTTTCACTCTTTTTCCCTCACTCATCTTCCTGGCTTTAATTTCTCTTCCTTTCAGGGTCTCTTCCTGATACTGCTGCAGTGATTTTTCAAAAACTCAAATCTACTGTCATTATCTTGTTGCTAACACACAACATCTTAGAGGTTAAAATGCAAACATCTTAGTATGGCAAAGATTCAAACATCTTAGATGGCACAGAAGGTCTTCCACCAACTGGCTCCTAGTTTACCCTTTCCCACACAAACCTGCATTCTAGCCGATTCCAAGTACTTGTGGTTGCTTCACACACCAAGCTGCTTCACACTTCCAATGCTATTTTTGGGGTAGAACACGCAGGAACATAGTCTGGAAATTTTTCAGAATTTCTGGAATTCCAGAATGGCTTATGCAGGTGCCAAGTAACAATATACCTGTATTATATACCTACTGAAGTGAATAGTCTAATACAATTTACCTTTATTTTGTCACTTCCTATTATAACAGGAATATCCTTGGAAAATGCTGTACTTAATTAAATCATCCAGTGCAATTTCTCCTTGCCCTAACCCTCAACAAGAATGTCATCAGCTCATTTTATATTAATAATTAATTGGCATGGTGAGAAGTGGGGACTGGCAGACTGAGGTGGAATAGAGGGCTCCCTAATACCTACAAACCTTCTTCTGATGTTCCAAGAACTCATATTACCACCAATAGGTAAATATCATAACTATTTTTGTTTTTTCTATATTTGGAAAATAAGGAGCTCATCTGTTGCTTTTAGTTAGACAAGGATTGACTAAGAAATCCTTTACATTGTAGACTGACTATCAGAACAACTACAATAGGTAGACAAAATTAAAAAAATATGTATATCATGATTATTCTTCCCAAGACAGGTGTGGATAGCTCCTTATTGTTCCATTAGACTAATTAGGAAATTCTAAAACACAAAGGTCAGTAGAAAAAACAGGCAATGAAAGTAAACTGCTTTTCTTGGTTGAAGAAGAGGGGAGTTGAAAGGCCAATGGATGTATCCACCTACCACATTACTGTCCTTAAGGGGCTCTGAGAAGCACTAGCCTAGGCAGTAGGATTTCCTGGCAATAATACTCCGAACGCTATTCTTGGTATTTAACTACATTTTGGGAACCTCTTCACCAACCTAATA